CTTTGCATTTTATGAAATTTGGTTATTTATTGTAATTTTTTGTAGATTCTTTCTTTTCGTCGATCAATTCATATTTATGTCAATACATTGTCTCCGAAATATATTCTTAAAAAGATAAAATTATAAATATATTTTATATTTTTTTATGGTATTTGATTTATTAAATAACATCACAACACAAAAAAAAAAAGAATGTGAATATATATATATATAGTTAGAGAAAGTTGTTGAATAAGACAAATCCCGCATCATAAAATTATAAATATTTATACTATAATTTGAAAAGAAACTCGAAAATTTTATTCGATTCAACTCGAATTTCATAAATTCAATTAAGAAACTGAAATAAAGTTCGAATCCTAAGATACAACTCATCGGCCTGACAAACTCAAAATTTTTTAACTCGATTCGATTGAGTGTTCGTTCCTACCGGGGACAGAGACAAGAATAAGCATTGTGGATAGTGAAACTATTTTACGTCGGGAGAACGAATATCTATTAAATACTTAAATCTAAAAATTAGAAGAAGAATAATATTTAATTAATATTAAAATTAAAAAATATTATATTAAAATTTTGGAGGACTATATTGCAGCATTTTTCATAATTCAGCATCTCCTCCGAAATCTACAGCTAATTAAAAAGAGATAAGAGAATAAAAACAGCTAAGAACAAAGCCCTTAATCACAATAGAACAATATAATCAGAGTAAAGCTATATTCTAAACTTTTAATTAAATTAATTAAAAGAATAAATCCCACTTAAGAGATGTTGCATGGACTCACCAATCATGCACACAACCCCCACCACTCCCCTTTTACAAACCATTTGGGTTTTCATTTTTAATTTTTATAATCCGATATAATTATATGATAGTATATGTTCATATATACTCTTAGTATGTTTTAATAACGTACACGCGTTACAAATATAACTACTCGGTTTCAAAACTTTTAAGGAGAATAACACTCCCCTCTATCACTTGGACCATTCAATAAGTTCTGAAATTCGAACCTTAAATTTATTTAATGATAATTTCACTCCGATTAATTTAAATGTATGTATTACCCTTTATTTAAATTTTAGTAATAAGGTTCAAGATTGTTCTCAAGTCTTCATCAAAAAATTGCTTTGTAATGTTCCATTAGTAGATAGAAATTGGAGGGGAGAGGTTATTGGTTTGGCTGGCTAGGGTGGTGAGGTGACTTATTGGTGCTCCATTGAAATGAAGTTCATGGAGGATATAGATGCCCACTTACCCTATCTATATGCCCTCCAAAATATTAAAAATATTATTAGAGTGGAGTGGTTTAATTTTTTAATTGTGTTAGGGTTACTAAGAAAAATTCATTTAAAGTAGCAGTTAAAAATGAAGATTTATGTTGACGAGCGAGCTCGAGATGATACGGATCAAAGTATAAAACTCTACTTTTCTCTTCATGCATCGATGAAGAGTAGAAAATTTGATTTGATTTGATTTGATTTCTTTTTAGATGGACTTTTTTAATAGAAATTTATCCGTATAAATAAATATTAAGTATTGTGATTTATATGTAAGTTGATTAAACCCTAAAATAACATTTTTGATGTATGTGATTTTATTTGAAAAAATTACGTTAATGCAAATATAAAACGCATGTATTATTAAAAAAAAACAGATAAAATCTAACACTACAATGAACATATAATTAGGACATTTTGTTGCAAACAAGAAACTCGCTACTCGATATCATATAAGAAACATACTAAAAAATGTTAAAAACTCATAAAAAAATTGAATAAAATATAGATATGAACATATATGAGATTAAAATATTAAAAAATTATCGAAAATCGTAAATCAGAATCAAACGTCACGAGAAAATTATCTCCTAGCGTAAATAGTATATCCAAATTCAATTTTAAAATTCAAAACTAGAAAAAAGTTAACAAATAATAAATAAACGTTATCTTAACCGATCGATATGTTATCAAATATGTTACATCGACATACTAGCATATTGTCAAATATAATGTCCAAACATAAAAATTAAAAACCTTTAATTCACACAAAACAAATTTAAGCAGTAATAAATGGAAACAATAAAAGTTTATAGAATATTAATATTGTTGATTAAATAAATAATGTAAAGGGGTATTAAATAAAAGGCAATTTGGGAAGCGTGGGGAACACGCTCCAATGACGAGGAGACTGTCACGTGGGCAGGTCTCCCGAGTTTGAGTTTGAGTTGACAAATGATGTTTTTCTTCGAAAGCTTTTTTTCCATTTCCTTTTACTGTGTCTAAAATTCTGACGATCCAAAAGTCTTGTCTGAAAAATATTACAATCAAAACAAATATTTGTAAGAACAAAAAACTGTCGGGAAATACGTGGAGACTCGATTTTTTTTCCAGGCTCTTTTAGGGTAAACTAACGTTTAGTATCTAAATTATAAATTTTTATCTGTTTCAGTACTTAAACTTTTAGTTTTTTAAAAATTATACTTAAAGTTTAGTTTTTTATTTTAGTATCCCGTTCAAAATATAACATTAAGTTTTAAAAAAAATAGAAAACTTAGGTACTGAAGTGGACCAGAACTGACAGTTTAGGTACTAATCATATTAAGTTTTTAACGGCGAGATACTAAAATGAAACGAAAACTTAACGTTAGGTATGAATTTGAAAAAACTGAAAGTTTTGATACTCAAATAAATCAAAACTTATAGTTTTGGTATTAAATACATTGTTTACCTTTTTTTTTATTCTATAGTCGACACTCGACAGCCACCAAAATTCTAATTAAATTCAGAGTTAATTTTTTATTTATTTATATTATTATATATATATATTTTGCAATCCAAAAGTGCCACTATGATTCTTCATTTTAATAGTCAATAAAGATCTTAGTATAAATAAAGGAAGATACATTAAGTCTTCTAGAGACCAAATGTATTTATTATTTTAGATAGATTATTAAATTTATCACTAATAAAAAAATAATAAAAATATTAATATCAATCGTCTGATAAAAATCAAAATAAAATTAATAAATATATTAATATCGATCATCTCATAAAGATATTAATATCAATCATCTACTTATAATATATTTTTGTCTCTTATGATTTTATAAATTCATCTCTTGCCATCAAATTATTCTTTCGTTTCTGATAAAACAAACACACAAAAAAATATAAAAAGAAGAAATATCCTCTTATAACGAAAAATTATTTTATGGTGTCGACTCACCATGTCATTCATGGTCCCAGTGAATCTTATCCGTCGATTTTGAAATAATTTCCAAATAACTGTCTACTCTTTATTTACATGTAGGAAATAGGTGAATCTTTACCTTGAAAAAAAATAAAATGTAAAAATATTATGAGTTATGATCACGAATGATGTGATGAATCGGATCCATCTAATATTTTCCTTACGATAGGATAAGAGGAACATAGATATTTCATTTGACTATCAACAACCTCAAAACCTTTCTTAGAAGATATATTTTTCTTTTTTATTATATACAATATTTAAGTTTAATATATTACTTAAAAATGCCAAATTATTTATTATTACATTTAAAAACTTGGGTAAAGTACACCAAATGGTCCCTGATTATATAGAATATTACTTTATTAAGTCCTTAAACTATAAAAAATTACAAAACAGTCCCTAAATTATATGATATTGCTTTATTTAGTTCATTAACTATTAAAAGTTATAAAATGGTCACTTGACTATTCATTAGGTTCAAAACTCATCATTTTCTATTAAAAACTGATGACGATTTGACCTACATTTTAATTTGATATCGAGACACGATAGTCGTTTGAAATTTTGAAACTTTTGATAGTCGGAGGACTCAAAAAAAGTAATATCTTATAATCAGGGGACCATTTATGTACTTCAGCCTAAATTTTTTTTGCTAACTTCTACTTATTGCAAGTAGTATTTTTCTGTCAACTTTCAAAGTACAAAAATATGCTTTAATTTTAGAGGAATTTATACAGAGAATATCTAAAGGAATTTCTTTATATTATTCTTCCATTACCAGCTAGTGTTTGAATTATTTTATTTTTTAATTACAGACATACAGCAATGAAAAGCTTATGAAAAAAAAAATAGTCAAATGAGAAGATAAGAGTGTACTTTAACAGACCTTTTTAAGACTTTTATTTTAATATATATATATTCAAATAGATATAGATTCTGGTCTGATCCAATGGTAATTCTTTTCATTATTTAAACTTAAATAAAAATATTTTATTAATTATTTTTAAATTTGGTCGAATTAAGCATGTTTGATTTTAAAATTAATTAATCTAAATTATATTTAAATCGTATTAGATCTTGCATTAAAATTTAAGTGTGGTTTTTGTTGTTGTGGTGGTCGTAGTCACCTTCACATTATCTTGGTGAATTTTGTGATAATATTATTAGGGTTAACTGCGTGATCGATTATTTATGTTTGTGTTTTGTCCAGATAATTGTAGTTAACAGTTAAATATTTTGGAATAATCTTAAATTCGATTTCTATTATTTACTTATTCTCTCAATTTAGTCATATTTTTAATAAATTAAAAATAAATTTAACCCTCCATCTAATGATGCCCATGTGTCACATGTGCCACATGTCATGTCTGTGTAATTTGAGCTAAATTACCTATAAAAAGTTAATTAGAAAGTTAAAGTGATTAAATTAAAACCAATTAAACTTTAGTGACCAAAATAGGAGTGAGAAGATAGTCGACTGATGAATGATTCGATTTACATATAAAAAAGTGTCACGTGAAAATCCCCGTTGAGTTTTTAACGACAAGGAACTAAAACGAAATAAAAACTAAACGTCAGGTATGATTTTGAAAAAATTGAACGTTAAGTACTAAAACATATCAAAATTGATAGCTAGATACTAAATACATAATTTACCCCAAACCTTTAGTGAGTAAAATAAGAGTCAAAAGAAAGCTGATCTATAATTTTGTTATTTACCCATGCGAATATGTTTGCTAATTATTTAAAAAAATTGTGAATGTGGAGTATACTGGGACCGTTAAGTAGCCGGCGCCAAGTATTCGATAGCTCCATGGTTTCGGTTCTTCTCATCCCTTAAAACCCAACCCAATCCCATCTTCTTCCCCGTTTCCTCTAACTCGCTTTCGAACTCAAAACACTAGGTTTCACCCTTTTTTAGCCATTGGATCCTCAAAACGAAGCCTTACTCACCACAGGAAAACATATAGTACTACACAATCATGGTGGTCGAAACCAACTTCTCTTCTCCTCGAACCGACGCCTTTCCTGCCGGCCTCCGTGTTCTCGTCGTCGATGACGATCCTACCTGGTTGAAGATCCTTGAAAAGATGCTCAAAAAGTGTTTTTACGAAGGTCACAACAGTAGCTTATGACTTCTTTGTGTTTGTTTTAATGCACCACTGTTCATTTTCTTTTTGTTTTGCTGTGAACAATTCTTGTATTTTTTTAATATGGGTTTTTGTTTTTGATTCCATGGACAGGAGATTAGAGCTTTGTTAGTGTGTAGGGATGTTTTCATTCTTCTGTTCTTGATGTTTTGTATGTGTGTGTGTTCCATTTAAAGTTGAAAACACATGATTTAATTGAGAGATTAAGGCTATGGATCATTTTAGAATGTTGTTATCCCCTATAAATGTCATAGGAGTGTTATTTTTGGTTCATTTCTAATACTGGATAATGAAATTGGAGTGACTAATTTGAAAAGTCTGCCTTTTATATGTCTCTCTGTGTGTATATATGTGTGTGTGTGTGATTTTATTAGTGTTGTTTGGTTTGATATCTTGCTAACATGGAGGAGATTGATGGGATTCTATGTAGTTAACTAATCTTAGTTAAACTAGGAACATACACCGATGGCCGAGATTATGATTCGGTTGATCAATCGGGAAGTTCGAGAAACTCCTGTCACCCTTTGCGCTGAATTTTTAACTTGATGGATTGTACTGAGAGCTGGGAATGTCTTTGATTATCAGCTTTACTGGTGTTAGTGTTTGAACAAGATTTGGTGGATGTATTAATGAGCTTGACTTTAGCCAAAACTACTGAAATCTGTTTAAACTTGAAGCGGAAAAACGAAAATCCTTGGCTGAAGCTCGACTCGAGGTAGTTGCATCCAGGGTCTAACAGGCCAGAGGTTGGCTTGCCTAACAAGTTTACTGTGTTCCTGTTTTGGTATTGGTTAGCCTTTTTCTCTAGATGCTTTAACTGTGTAACTTCAGATGGTCTCCGAATATCATCGTTGCAGTTAGATTAAAGATGTTTTTAACAAGGATATGGTAGGTTTCGAACGATTACAAATCTGATGTGGGATTTTTTAGCCGTTTTTCGGACGATAAATTAAGCATTGGAATGTATTTTTATACTATCCTGACATTCTTTTTTGGTGCTTTGGCTTGTTTCAGTGACTACATGTTGTCTTGCACGAGAAGCCCTGAACTTGCTTCGTGAAAGGAAGAATGGTTATGACATCGTAATCAGTGACGTTAACATGCCCGACATGGATGGTTTTAAACTTCTCGAACACGTTGGACTCGAAATGGATTTACCTGTCATTAGTCAGTTCTCTATTGTAAATGTTGTCTGTTCTGTTTCCCCCCTCCCCCCCCCCCCTTCGAATTGGATCAAAACATCTACTCACAAGCTCCGTTCGTGTTATGTGACAGTGATGTCCGTCAATGGAGAAACAAGAAGAGTGATGAAAGGTGTTCAGCATGGCGCCTGCGATTACCTTCTAAAACCTATTAGAATGAAAGAGCTTCGGAATATATGGCAGCATGTGTTCAGAAAGAAGATACATGAGGTGAGAGACATTGAAAGTCTGGAAGGCATCGAAAGTATTCATATGACAAGAAGCTGCTCCGAGCTGTTCGATGATGGGCACTTCCTTGGTGCAGAAGATTCAACCTCGGGAAGGAAAAGAAAAGACGCTGACAACAAACATGACGATAAAGACCTCGTTGATCCTTCATCCACCAAGAAAGCCAGAGTTGCTTGGACAGTAGACCTTCACCAAAGATTCGTCAAGGCAGTAAATCAGATTGGATTTGATAGTAAGTATGATTGGAATTCAAATTTTCGGTTTTAAAGGTTAAGCTCTAGATTATCGTCACAGAATTCGAGCAATATCCCAAAGCCTTTTCCGTCAATAATACATCATAAAACCTCATTTTAATGTCTGTTTGACAGAAGTAGGACCTAAGAAGATACTCGCTCTGATGAATGTACCGTGGCTAACGAGAGAAAATGTTGCCAGCCACTTGCAGGTAAATAGCTCCTCCTTTTTTGGGTAGAAAAGAGTGTTTTCGAGGAAAAACATGCTCGGTTTATTTTACTTTTTTCGGATTATTTGAGATCAACACGACAGAGATTCTCATCAAGAAAAATTCTCTTGTGCAGAAGTACCGCCTCTACTTGAGTAGGCTGCAGAAGGAATGCGATATAAAGAACTCATTTATCGGAATAAAGCATTCGGATCCATCTTCGAAAGATTCAACCTCCGGTTCTGGTCTCCATAACTCAATGAATGTGATACAGGACAATGTGTCTAATGGCAGCTTTAGTTTTTCCGTGAATAACTCATGTGTCCCGGATGTCGATCTCAAAGGCCACGAAGGTGATGGAAAAGGAATTACTTCAGGGCCAATGGCAGAGTCCAAAGGAACATTTTCTATCGACATTCCTGATCCTCATAAAGGCAAGAGTTTGCAGATAAGCTTCGATCATTCCCATGGATCAGTTGATTCGGTTGTAAACTTGGCATCATTCGGTTCTACTGACACGGTGCAGTACTCCTGGAATGAAGTTCATGAGATTCAATTCAAACAAGAGTATGAACAGTTGCAATTAGAAAACAGAATCAACCAACATCCGCTACCTGGTTTGCAGCATGATTTGCTGACCAAATATCTACAACCTGCCGTACCAGTTGGCCCTGGACCTTCCGTAACCGAAAAAACGGGTACCAGTAGTGGATTTGAATTTAAGCCTATGTGTGACGAGTACAGAAGCGATCACATCAAACATTCGACTCCAACAGAAGCAGCCGGTGAGAGCCATACGCTTAATGATCAAGTTTTCGAGTCCATTTGCACTTCTACATCAAGCATGAAAAGTCAGGACATCATTCCAAACCACCTCACGGAGTCGGAATTTTCACCGAGAAACCTGTACGACGGACTAGGAGTCGAGGACTTGCAACTCTGTTGGCTTCAAGATGATTGTTATGCCATGAATTCCGCTCTCCAGGGTTTCGACTGCACCGAGTATAACAATCCAGCAACGATACCCGAAATGCCGTTTCACTTGTATGATGCACCAAGGTTCGATCACGAGCATCTGTTCGATCCCGCGGAATATTACATGATCGATCAAGGATTGTTTGCGTAGCACGGAATCACATCAACGGCGCAGAAACCGATCCTTTGCTGTTATAGGTAATATCTGTAAGTAGAGTACTTCCATTTTCATTGGATTGAAATGCCATTTTGCCATTCAATTCTGGACTTGAATGTTGAAGCATGTATGATACAAGTGGTGATAAAACGTTGGAACATAATAAATTCTGCAGTTTTCTAGCATGTATTTTATCATGTTTAAAGTATATTTTATTAGGGTAAACTACACCCGTGACCACTTAATTATGACAAGATTTTAATCCAACCACTCAACTTTTAATTGTGTCAATCATACCACTTAACTATTTAAATGATGTCAATAAAACCACCAACTGTTAACACTCAATGGAGACGGTAATGTGGTAGTTGAAAAAATTGGTATAGTTATACATTTGGTCCATGTTACTTAGACATTCTATTAATTTGATTCTAACTTTTAATAAAGTAATAGTGACCAAATGTGTGATTAAACCAAATTTTTTAACAGTTGCATCATCTTCTCAGTTAAATGTTAATTGCTTGTAGCTTGATTAATATCATTTAAATAGTGAAATAATCTAATTAATAAAATTAAAAGATCGATTGTCATATTAGAATCTCTCTTTTTAATTAAGTGATAACGAATGTAATTTACCCATTACATTAATATAAATTAAAAATATTATTTATATTATTTCTAGAAAAAAAATTAGAGTGGACGTGTAAACCAAAATCTAGCACAAATGTGTCTCTCAACCGAAATTTTGTGCCTATATAAAGACTCAAACTCAAAATTTATCTAATTAATATTAAATATCTTACCACTCGAATCAACTTCAGTTGATATATAAATTTAGTTTTAAGTATAGTACAATTATATTTTATTAGAGAAATGATAATTCTTATAACCACAAATAAAAACATATTCCATATTTGATATACATACTTGTATAGCAAGCAAAACAAACAAACAAACAAACAAGATAACGTTTTTTTCCTTGTAGTTTCAAAGTTTCACCCTAATTAGTCTTGACCGACTCATATCGTACATCTAATTTTGATGGACGACTCTTCCTCCCAACGGAGATTTTCTACATGCATAAAGCTTGAACCTAAGACATTACTTAAGCAATATCAAACTGCTTACCACCAGGACCCGCCTTAGGTCAGGGCATGGGACGTCCTCCTAGAGCTCATAAATTAATTTTTTAGTATAATTCCTTTTAAGTTTTGATAAAAAAATTAAAAAAATTATAAAATAAAATAGTGATGTCTATGAGTTCATTAAAAATAATAAATTATTGAATTTATTAAACTGTTTAGCTATCCATAAAACTCTAATTCAATATTTTTTTTCTCAAAACTAAAAAGAAATCTAATTGAATATTTTTAATTTTGATTTTTTCCAAATTCTCACCGTCAATTCTCCAAATCTATAGGTAAGACCATATTGAATATAATTCTTAAAATTATAGGTAAGATCATATTTTGAAATTATTTCTTTTTGATTTTTATATATTTTTAAATTCTAGATAAAATCGTTATTTTATTTTCAAATGTTATGTTATGTATTGAGAAAAATATGCTGGAAAACATTGATGTTGACACTATCATCAATGATTTCGTATCAAGAAATGTTCGAATACGATATTTTTATAAGTATTTGTATGCTTAAATATATTTGTGAAAATTTAGATATTGTAGTGAATTACTATTTGTTTAATTTAATGAAAAAATCTAAAAAAAAAAGTTTATATTAATTACATTTCTTAATTTTTTTTGAATTAGGGGGTCTATTTTTTTTAATTTCGTCTCGAGTTGAAAAATAGTTAAGATCGATCTTGCTTACCACTTGAACTGGTCCTATTGGTAATAAGATAAAAGCTTTCATTTACTGTATTATATTTTTAAACAACTCGAAACTAAAAATTTATCCAAAACTTTACATATCTTGCAATTTTTTCTTACAAATTAATTAATGGTTCCAACACTTATGTTTGGCCATTAACGGTCGTCAAAATGAATTAAATCTAATAAGCTCAGAACTTATGCAAACGATCACTAACGTTATTGATTTATAATAAATGATCATTAGGTGTTAACATTCGTTAACCTCGATGATGGAAAGTTGAGTTAGATCGTTAAACTTTTACCTAGACAAAGTGGCCAAGTATTAGGGTTTAAGCATGGTCAATATTCATGCATGAGAAGCATTCAATAAAGGCCAAGATATTCATGTTGGACGGTCTAGGTAAGAGTTTAACGATCTAACTCCGCTTTCCATCATCAAGGTTGATGGCTGTTATAATGCCACACGGTTATTTTGTTATAAATCGATAAGATTAGTGATCAATTTATAAGTTTTAAAAGTTTATTGGGAAAATGAAACTTTATTCAAATTTTTGTGATCATTTGCGTAGTTTATCCTATTTATTCAAAAAAAATTATTAAGAAAAATAACATTAATTCGAGAATAATATAAGAAAATAATAATGAACTAAATTTTTTAAATATTATTATAAAGACCTCTCTGGTGTCTATTACTTTATTCAGTCTTCATGTCTTTTCATTCTCTTGACCTGAGAGGCTGATACCATATTTCGAAAATAAATGGACTATTTTACCCTTCAAACATTCTTCATTTCCCTCATAGCCCTTTACTTCATCTCTTACGTGCGGAAATGGCTTGCAAGCTCACGGTCACCGCCAAGTCTCCCTATAATCGGTCACCTTCACCTCCTCACAGACATGCCACATCACACCTTCACCAAACTCGCCGAGAAACTCGGTCCGATAATCTACCTCCGTCTCGGCCAGGTCCCAACAATCGTCGTCTCCTCGCCGGAACTCGCTCGACTCGTCCTCAAGACTCACGACCAGGTCTTCTCGAACCGTCCTCGACTCGTCTCCTCTCAGTACCTCTCCTTCAACTGCTCCGACGTCACGTTCTCCCCTTACGGCCCGTATTGGCGTCAATCTAGAAAAGTCGGCGTCACCGAGCTACTCAGCCCGAGGCGAGTCAGCTCGTTCCAACTCGTCCGGGATCAATAAGTGAACCGGTTACTAAACGCGTTGTCGACCAGGTCAGGATCGGAAGTCAACGTCAGCGAGCTTTTCTTCTCGCTAGCGAACGACATCCTCTGTCGGGTGGCGTTCGGGAGGCGTTTCACGGGAGGCGTGGCGGCGGCGTCGGATGAGGGGGAAAAGCGACATCTGGCGGCGGTGTTGACGGAGACGCAGGAGCTGTTCGCGGGGATGAGCGTAGGAGATTTTTTCCCCGAGTGGGAGTGGGTTCAGTCGGTGAGTGGGTACAGGAGGAGACTGAAGAAGAATCTGGAGGAGTTGAGGAGAGTTTGTGATGAGATAATAGAGGAGCATTTGAATTCGGGAGGGAATAAAGAGGACTTGGTAGATGTTTTACTCAAAGTGCAAAAGCACCCTGATAATCTCAAGGCTCTTCTTCTGGACATGTTTGTTGCAGGAACTGATACAACAGCGGCAACCTTAGAATGTACAATGACAGAGTTAGCCAAGCACCCTGAACTAATGAAGTGAGCGCAACAAGAGGTCCGATCCGTCGGTCCGTTGTTGGTTCCACGGAAATCCATGGATGAATGCATCCTCGATGGCAACAGAATACCTGCCAAAACTCGGGTCCTTATCAACACCTACGCTATAGGAAGAGATCCCCCTTCATGGGACCATCCCCTGCAGTATAATCCCAAACGATTCGACGATCCAGACGTCGGTGCCAAGGATCAAGATTTTCGATTCCTACCGTTCGGAGGTGGGAGACGAGGTTGTCCGGGTTACACTTTTGGTCTCGCTACCGAGATTGCACTCGGTCAGCTCTTGTTTCATTTTGATTGGGAATTGCCTCGCGGATTTAGCACCGATGATGGCAATGTTAATGAGATTTTCGGTCTCGCTACAAGGAAACGAACTCCTCTAATACTCGTCCCGACAGTGAAGGAAGAACTATAAGGTCAATTAGGACACAACTTCGGCCATCCTGTTAAACTGTTTCACGTTGTTTAAAGTAAAATAATCGAGGTTACTACGATATTCGAAGTGTCCGGCATTGATTTTCGATGCCTATATTACCTGAGTTCCAATCCAAGTTCCGGTGATGATAACTCAAGCCCGGCAGAGCATCGGTAGTATATTCCATGTTTAAGTATAGAATATGAACAAAAGCATATTCCTAATCACAGAAACAGTGACTTATGATGCAAAACCAACAATGAGAATCGTATAAATGGAATGAGACATTATATTTCTTAAATAAGGTTACGGTTTCACTCTTATAATTGGTCTACCGATTCAAATTATTCGATTAATAGATCACATATTCAATTAATAAATCATATATTGTGAAGATTGAACAAAAAAATAAATTAACAAAACTGTTTATTGAACTGCACTAATAGGCAAGGAACTTATCATACACCAATCTCAGTCTGGTACTTCGACCCCTATATAAAATCGAACTCTTACAAGTAAGAAGCGCCTATCGATATCTAACCTGACAAGGCGTTGGTGTTTGCTTTGCGGGGAATGAGCATTGCTCCGCTGCCGGAAGCTTTCTTTTCAGCAAGTTCTTCCAAGCGCTTCCATGTCGTTTCACGTCTCGTTTCAATCTCATCTTCCTTCGATTCATCTTCCTGAAACTTAACCGAGCATTCCTTGCACAGCTCCGGGTCAAGATCGTAGAAGATCTTGCGGACATTTAAGGTCAAGCTCTTTACAGCTTGATTCCAGTGATTCCTAGCATTTTTCTCCAAGGCCGGGAAAATAACCGGCAGTATAACCTTGCGGTTTTGAATGATTAAGTTCTGAATGTGATCGTTGTTCCACAAGAACAAAGCTCGCTCGGCTACCTGAGACGCGAAAGAAGGGGAAAAAACCAGAAGTTGCATGGGACATTCAGAAGAGGAAAAAAACCCCAAAAAAAAAAGATAATACAAGTTCCATGAAAGATCACAGTGATAGAACCTAAGTTCCGGGAAAAAAACCCGGATCATATTTCAAGTCACGCAAAATATTTCAAGCTGAAAGTGTGCTTAGCGTCGGCAATCATTGTCAAAGCGTTTTATCGTACCTAAGTCTCAAAGTGACTTCTCCAGCAGAAAGCATGTTAAAATAAATAATATCACTTAACAGAAACA